CCCAGATCTACCCCTGTGGTGAAAGTGGCAATTGACCGTATGGGCAGGAGGGAAGCGGCTTATTGTCATAGTAGCCGATGCCCGCTGTGGGCAAAAAAAAAAAAAAAAAAAAAAAAAAAATAGTAATAGCAATAATAATAATCATTATAATAATAATAATATATAATAATAATAATAGTAATTAATAAAAATAATATAATATAATAAAATAATATAATAATAATTAATAAGAATAATAATATATAATAAATAATAATAATAATTATATATAATAATATAATATTAATAATAAAATAATTATATTATATATAAATAATAATAATAATAATTAGTATTATAATAATAATAATTAATAATAATAATATAATAATAATAAAAAAATATAAATTATAATAATAATAATAATAATATTAATAATAATAATATAAAAATAATAATAATAAAATATAAAATATAATAAACCCCGCAGGGGGTATCTACTTTTGAAGCTGGATCTTTGATCCGGTTTCAAGGGAAGATACATGGGGAGCGTCGCCCCCACGGCCCCAGGCAGGGAGTTCGGGGTTTGGTAGTCTTATTCATTCTGCCAAACCCTGGGCTTTTCCTTCCCCCTTTCTCCCATCCTTCTCCTTTTATTATATCCTGTGCAGCTGTCCGCTGCCCTCACGACTTTCCTTGTCCTTTCCTTACTCCATGCGTTGAGGCGGCGCGTGGGGCTTCCTCTTAGCCTCCCGGGTGTTTGTGCCGTGCCCGGCGACCCGTAAGCTGGCCAATGGAATCCTGGTGGTTGAGCCCTACCAGTCAGGGGGGCAACACGCCACTTTGGTCCGGCGGTCAGTCTAGAAGGGCGGCCGCGCCTAGCCCAGCGTCGGTCAATCGGCTGTGCCATCCCGTCAGAGGGCTGGCTGGGCGAGCCTTCGCATTGCGAAGAAAGCAGACAGGTGTGGATTATTTCTACCCTTGGCCATGCCGGACCGCAATGCGAAGACTATACTTTCCTTCAGCAGCCCTGGTGTCCATGTCCCGAACTATGTTTGCAGGCATGGCATCCCCAATGAGGACTCCGTGGCGGGTGGGGAGCTGGGAAGGTGAAGCATTTTGAAATTCGCATGGATGAAATACAAACCAAAAACCCACCCAGAAATGGGAAAGCTACCGCGCAAGCGGCCACGGCCAGCCAGAGAAAGGAGGGAACCATCCCCCGGTTTCTGGTGGTCGAACGGATTGATGGGGGTAACTTTGATAAAGTAAGCCCCTTTGTTGTGTCAAGAACATTATTTGGAATTGCTGGGAACCTGAAATTAATAAAGAAAATCAAATCTGGGCTACTGTTGGAAACCAGTACCGCAACCCAGGCAAACAGACTTTTGCAAACACAAAGAGTTGGAGATTATAATGTTGTAGTTAAAGCGCATTCCACGCTTAATTACTCCAAAGGAATTATTACTTGTGCTGATCTTTTGAACTCCACTTTGGAGGAAATATTGGACGGCCTGAAAACAGAAGGAGTTATTGACGTAAAACGTATGATGCGTAGAAGAGGTGAGGAACTTATAGAAACACCAAATCTCATTCTCACTTTTGATAGACCCAATCTACCTAATAAAATTAAAGCTGCCTTCTACCACCTTGATGTTCGCCCTTACTACCCAAGCCCTTTGCGGTGTTTCAAATGCCAGAAATTTGGTCATACATCCCAGAAATGTCCTAATACCGAAATGTGTACTTGTGGTCAACCCAATCACCCAGGAGAGCCGTGCAATGAACATAAGAAATGTATCAACTGTGAAGGACAGCATGCTGCTGATTCTAGAGAATGTCCGCGGATGAAGGAAGAAGTTGCCATCCAAAGAGTGAGGACGCTAGAAAAAATTAGTTATCTGGAGGCAAAAAGGAAAGTAATTAGCTCATCTCCCCGGGTGTCATACGCTCAAGTTACCGCTACCCCAAGTGCTACAGTTAATAAACTTGTTGAAGAACTTCTTCCTCTGCTTTCAAAAACGATAGAAACACAGATTAAACAAACCTTTGATAAATTTGTAAATAGACCAGTACGGACATTGACACCTTTAAATCTACCTCCTCCTAACCAATACCTATCGGATACGTCTACTCAACCATCTCTTTCAGAAAAGAGGAAACGTACTGTTATCCAAAAGGATAATGCGGATGATCCCGCAGACGATACTGACGAAAGCTTTCGTCACAAGCCAGCGGAACATCCTCACTTGCTAAGAAAAAAAAGGGATGGCCGAAGGGAAAACCCAGAAAGCCTCCAGATGATAAGACGATTAGTTCCGATGTAATTGATCTCAACTAGCATTACGTAACGATGACTTCTGTGATATTACTTTGCAAAATGCATTTTTTATCCATATTTTTTATACATAGTTATATTTATATCTTTTTATCTATATTATATATATACACCTTTTACTTATAGTTACACTTATTTTTCACACAATGTGTTCTATAGTGCAATGGAATATTAATGGATATAAAACGCACCACCCAGAATTGAAATCACTTCTGTTAAATGAGGCACCAATTTGTGCATGCCTTCAAGAAACGCATCTAGCAGATTCAGACAGCATAAACCTACGTGGATATACATGTTACAGGAAAAATGGCATTAGGAATATTCGTGCCAAAGGCGTCGCGACCCTTATAAAAGAAGATATCCCATCTAATGAAATCATGGTTGACTCACAATTGCAAGCAATCGTAGTACAAATCTTCCAGCCAGTTAAACTAACTATATGCAACATCTATCTCCCAGACTTCAGCTGGGAATCAAGACAAATGCGGCAACTTTTTTCAGTTGCCTACACCTTGTGTCATACTGGGCGACTTCAACGCCCATAACCCATTATGGGGATCAGAGAAACTTGATATGCGAGGCCGCCTTATAGAAGATATCATCAACGAATATAACCTGGTGGTTTTGAACTCAGGATCAGGTACCTTCCTAAATATCCGCTCTCTTAAACTTAGCGCTATAGATCTAACAGTTTGCAGTCCTGAAATTGCACATCTGTTTACTTGGGAAACAATGGACGATCAATTCTCAGATCATCTGCCTATTAGAATAAAATGTGCGACCCGATGTTCAAACTTCTATTCCTCCCCAAAATGGCAAATTAAAAAGGCAAATTGGAGTAAGTTCCAAGAAAACATCAAAACCCTTGAGTTTAAAGAATCTGTCGAAGAATCTGTGCAACAGCTCACCGAAAATATCTTGGACGCTGCTAAAGTGAGTATCCCTGTTTCAGGCTATACCTCTCCCATTAATATAAAGCCCAGAGTGTCTTGGTGGAATGATAGATTAGAAAGAGCATTGAAAGAAAAACACCATGCACTTAACATATTTAAAAGATACCCTACACAAGAAAATCTTATACGCTTCAAAAAATGTAGAGCTAATGCGAGGAAAATTTTACTCAACAGCAAAAAAGCATCGTGGAAAAATTATGTTTCCTCAATAACCTCTGAGACCCCGACTTCAGAAATTTGGTCAAAGATAAGAGCTATAAGTGGAAGATCATTAACTCTACCAAGTTCTATTCTCATCGTTAATAACCAAGAAATATCCGAAAAGAACGAAATCTTGAATACTTTGGCACAACGATTTCAAATAAATAGTGGGACTGAAAGATATGCTGACAACTTCATCCAACAAAAAAATGAAGCAGAAGAAGTGGGAATTGACTTCGACGAGGAAAATATATCTGAATATAACCTTCCTGTAACTTTGGATGAACTGGAGTACGCACTCGCTGAGGTCAAAAGCTCTTCACCTGGTCCAGATACTATACACTATGAAATGATACAACACTTACCTGTAAGTGAAAAACAAAAACTACTAGAACTATATAACAAAATATTGATAGAAGGTACTTACCCAAAACAGTGGCAAAACGCAATCATCATTCCTATCCCGAAAGCTGGTAAAGACAGTAAGGATCCCAATAACTACCGCCCCATATCTCTAACATGCTGCCCAAGTAAAATACTAGAAAAAATGTTAAACTTAAGGCTTATATGGTACCTAGAGAAACATGGATTATTGTCAAAATATCAAATGGGTTTTCGTAGGTATAGATCAACAACAGATCAGCTAGTCTATCTGGAAGCAGCCATTCAAAAAAGCTTTGCTAAAAGGCAACATACAGTAGCAGTATCATTTGACATTGAAAAAGCATATGACACTACATGGCGGTTTGGCGTACTGAAAACACTGCATGAATGGGGAATAAGAGGATACATACTACGTTTCATTGCAGGCTTCCTAGAACACAGGTATTTTAAAGTACGTATTGGAAAAGAACTTTCAGCATCATACAGACAAGAGAACGGTATTCCCCAAGGTTCAACTCTAAGCGTGACCCTTTTTCTTGTGGCTATAAATAAGCTAATCGAAAAAGTGCCAATAGAAGTCGGGAAATGTATATACGTTGACGACTTAACAATATTTCTTACTGCAGACAAAATGGAAGATATAGTAGGTACTTTGCAGACATCCATAAATACATTAGCTTACGAGGCCGAAAAAATGGGTTTCTCCTTCTCTCCACAGAAATCAGCATGCATACATTTTTGCAGGCTAAGGAGACATCATGACCCACCAGCTCTGACTTTGAAAGGCACACCAATAGCTAACAGACACCATATAAACATATTAGGCATTACCTTGGATGATAAATTATACTGGAAGAATCATATAGAGGAACTCGTAATCAAAAGTAAAAAGGCCTTAAATATTATTAAATGTCTCTCAAGCATCAGTTGGGGAGCAGACAGGGATGTGTTGCTCTCATTATATAAATCAATAGTCATGTCCAAGTTTGAGTATGGAGCAATAGTATACTCAGCAGCAAGACAATCCCATCTAAGTAGATTAGAGAGAATACACAAGGAGGGTATACGGTTATGCATTGGTGCCTTCCGGACATCACCGAATGCGTCCGTTTTTTGTGAATCAGGCATACCTCCCTTAAGCTACAGAATACAGCAGCTGCTACTGAACTATAGCGTAAAAATATGGGCACAACCCCAGCACCCTAACCACAATATATTATTTGAGGAAGAAGAAATTTCAATTTATCGGTCTAGACCATCCATCACAAAGCCCGCAGGTGCCCGCATCCATAAGCTACTCGAGGATTTAGAAACTCAGATGCCCCCAACCTATAGTCTTAAATACATAGATTGCCCTGTATGGAGGCTGTCACTCCCAGAAGTTAACTTCGAATGCGCCAAATACAAAAAAGGCCACACCAATCCTACATTTTATAAACAGACATTTCTTGATATAATTGGTAAATACCAAAACGTAAGGAGAATAATTTATGCGGATGGGTCTAAAACCGAAGGGGGCATAGGATGTGCATTAACAACTACGGAGATAACCCGCAAATGGCGCCTAAGTCCAATGGCCTCAATTTTCTCAGCGGAATTATACGCAATACTTCAATCCCTAAAATTGATTGATGATGAGGAACAGGGCTTATACATAATCTGCAGTGACTCTTTGAGCTCACTGCAAACTATTTCTGACAAATTCAGTAAAAACCCCTTAGTTCAAGAGATTCTCTTGACCACCTACCAGCTCCAACAGAAGAAATCACAGGTCATATATGTGTGGACGCCAGCACACGTAGGAATCCATGGAAATGAAATAGCAGATACAGCTGCCAAGGAAGCCACAATGGAAGAATACCTCAACATACCAGTCGTGCCTGAAGACGTGAAAAATTCATGAGGTTGCAGCTACTTAATGAATGGCAGCAAGAATGGAACTCAACAAACCATTTTTTGAAGACGATCAAGCCGAACGTAACAAAATGGAATCTTCCCCATCTGACTCGTAGAGAGCAGGTCGTAATTACGCGAATGAGAATAGGTCACACAATTCTTACACATTCCCACATACTTTTAGGTAATCCACCACCAAGGTGTGAGACGTGTAATGAATTGCTTACTTGGAAGCATATACTGATCGAGTGCCCCATACATAGCTGCTAGAAGAGCACACAACATAGCTGGTGATTTAAAAGGTTGTTTATCCTCTAATGCCAACGTAGGAGATACATTGAATTTCCTTAAATCTACCAAGCTTTTCCGTAAAGTATAACGTTATTAAATAAGATACTACTATGTAGAAATATATTAGATAGCTGTAGGTCTATGATAGATAAGGAAGCACTGGTGTCGGATAAGTAAGTAAATACAGGGTACCCACGCGTATGTGGGTATTCTTATTTACATTTTTTTTTCTGTGTTTGTCTGTAATAAGTTAATTTTATATGTTTGTTCTTTTTTTTGTATTCAAAAAATCTGAGCTACATCACATAACATCCGAATCACCCAGATTTACCCCTGTGGTGAATGTGGCAATTGACCATTGGGCAGGAGGAAAGCGGCTAATGGCCTTAGCAGTCGATGCCGCTGTGGTATAAAAAAAAAATAATAATAAATAATAATAAGTATTAATAACAATAATAGTATAATAATAATATTAATAATAATAATAATAATAACGGCCGTCCGGCCAACTATCGGTGTCTTCCTGTAGCATTCCTGTGCGTTACCTAGCAGGATTGTTGCTGGAACATGCCGTAGGATTACCACCTTCGTAGCGTCGCTGCGCCTGGTGGTGTCCTGTTGCTACGGTAGTGTCGAAGACCGTACAGCCGGCGCCCGACCATCTGTCCACTACCTTCATCCTTTTTACACTCGGGTCGGCGTGGGACTGGTGGAGGGGGCGGCATATGCCGACTCCTCGGCCTTTTTCTCAGCCCCACGTCGGCTCGAGTACACCCATAACCCATCCTTGTCATTTCCATACCTTCTCTCCTTGCCCCCACTTCGCCCGGTAATCCCAAGGTGTTGGCCGTGCTGAGGGGATGGATGGCACTACATAAGTGTGTCCCTAACGGCCCCGTGTCTTCCACGTTAAAGAGGCGTGTATCCCCTACGACACAGGGGAATTATGGTCATGTTAAGCAACGCACAAGGAGTGGTACCCCAGGCAGGTAGAGTTCAGGAGAGCTCAGAATCCTGTAGTATAAAAAGCCCCACGGATTCTGGGGGGGGCAACTTAACATGTGACGCGGTAAGAGCAGGTGAATCTGCCCCTTGGAGAGAAACCGCAAGGAGAGAGGATCCGTTTAACTGGGAAAAGGCGGGACATGTCCCTCGGTTCCTAGTAATGGAAAGGTTGGATGGGGAAAACTTCAGTAAAGTGAGCCCCTTCCTCATTGCAAAGCAATTGCAAGGAGTCGTAGGAAATTTAAAAAATATAAAG